AAACTGCAAGGAGTCGTCCAAGCAGTCACTGCAGGGTCAGCAATGACTGAGCGCAGACAAAAAAAAAAAAAAGTGTTATTGAAATAACTGCAAATTTTCTACACCTACATAGTAGCTTCATTTTTTCCCCTTCCCCTTGGTACCCTATGCCTGCTTTAAACCTTTATGCCTTTTGGGGTAACAGTTTGTTACATTTTTATCCTACATAATAAAACTGAATCATTTTTTCAAAATTCTGTATTCAGTACTAGTTTGGCAGGAAGATAATCAGGACAAAACAAGTTAACAGCTACAGTAAGAGAAAGGAGGAATACAATTTTCTCATAATTAGGAAAACCAACTGAACAGGGATGGGCAATCTTTTTGGCCTGACTGTACTTCAAAGGGCCTAGGAGCATATCTAATTGAAGTCACTGGAGAAAGGTTACAATTTTCCTACTTTTCCCCATTTTTTTTATGCTGTCAAAAATGACTCCCTTACTGTGGAAAATCACACTGCTGAAAGGTGGAATTTTCATTACCAAATTTTGGCATGTGATTTGGGGATGTTATGGGTACAGAAAAAATGGGGGCTGGGAAATTGTTTGCAGCCATGGCTTAACCACCTTTGGCTTAGAGTTTTTGTTCATTTTATCTTTTTAAATAACAGTTAAATATATAATGAAATAACTTACTATAAGGCCACTTTTTTAAAAAAAAAGTTTGATATGACAATCAAATCTTGAACAGTTCCAAGCCATCTCACTTTTGAAACATAAAAAACAATAACAGTCATGTTGTTTCTTGGGAAAATAAGAACACTTCTACTAGCACAGTGGGACTGCCAATTATTTTTCCCCCCCTGCACTTTCCAATACATCTGCCACAAAGGGGCTTAAAGAGGAGGAGACTGTTGTAGTAGCAGATGGCAGTGTATATAAAGACACAGTTAGATATAAATCAGTTTTTTTACCTTTTGCAGGTTTGTACTTTAGATTAAATGGTTCATTTTGCCAGATATAGGAAACCAGGATGGGGGCAAAATGTGCTAGTATTCTTTCAATATATTGCTGTAGAATGTCTTGATGATGCTCTGGGTCTTCTGATTCATGTACTAGGAATAACTGGTAACGGACCGCATCATCTACAGTCCCAAAACTTAACTGCTTCTCCATTCTGCATCTCACAGGCCCCTTTTAAAAGAGAAATATTTTAAAGCCATTTCTACACACTGCAGCAAGTGCCCCAATATCAAAATGCCAATAAACATGTCAAATCAAGCTTTTCGGCAGAGGACCCACCATTTTCGTTTCATAAACCCGTAAGGAAAGATCTATTAACACAATCTAGAATGAACTGTTTGCTACCCAACTGATTTGTCAATCTTCGAATGAAATATCCTTAAAAAGAATCTTGTTATCATTTCCTCACAGGCGCTATTTTCAGTTCAACTAAGAGCTATCTTAATAGTGGGCTTTTAAGCTGCTTTAAGTCTTTGCAGAGCGCCCTAAAAAGGAACGAAGGCAACTTTTATCAAGTATTCATAACACTTCCTCTTTCTAGATCAATATGTATATTCCCATGCTTGTGTAGATAAACCTCAGGAAAAATGTATCCCCGTCAAGAAGAACCAGCCCTGCCCCCAGAGCAACCCATCACCCGTAACTCACCGGACAGCCGACAACTCCACCACCTCTGCGCCCTCAACGAAGCGGCTGCTCTTACGTCATCGCCGCGCGCCGCGGCCTATGTCTCTCCCCCCGCCACCATAGAGAGGAGACTTCCGCTGGGCCGGAGAGGGAGGGGAAGGAGGGGGCGTCGCCATGGCGGCCCGGGCCGAGCCGGCCAGCCGGCTGCGCCGACGAGGACCGAGATGAAGTGCTGAGGCGAGAGGATGATCTCGCGATACACCCGGAAGCCGGTGCCCCCCGATGCCCAGGGGATGTGAGTGACGTCCTCCTGGGTAATCCCAAGGCGCGGGCCCCTCCGAGCCTTTCCCGGCGCTCCCAGCCCTTCCGGAGAACCGATCTGACTTCCAGGGAGCCCTGCCGCGGCCTGACAAGGCTCTCTTCGCCCTCTCCGTCTAATCCCTCTCTGATATTCCCACGTTCTGTTGCCCGAGCGCTCCCACAGGCCTCCCTCTAGCGGCTCGAGGCGGCACTACACTTGCGGGCTGGTGCCAACTGTTTTAAAGACAAGCGGGCGTATCCTTGGGCGGGAGGGAGGTCAGACGTCTCCGGGGACACGGGGCTGGACGGGCTTTTCTACAGAATTGGAGTGAACCTCAGCTCTTTCAGGTTCATAAAACTGGTTGGGTGGTCGATAAATGTGCTTTAAGAGAGAATTGGGCAAAAGCTCGTAGCTAATAAACTAGGAATGTCCTGTTGAAATGAATGAGAACACTATAATGTTTAATACTAGTTGCTTATTGATTTGAAGAAATTCAGTGTCACCAAGCAAATAACATTTTTATTTATTTTTAGTCGAGGACTTACAAAAGATACCTTAGACCATCATCCCCTGCCAGACTCACTGGATGACAGTTACCCATCCACTGAAAGTCAAGAAGATATTTCAAGGTATTGGGATAGTACAGTTATTTGTGGTGGAGGATTGGGGGAGAAAAGAGCATGATTATATCCACTTTTGTTTCCTTTTTTTAAGCCTGTGTTCAAAAGCTGTGTTAAAACGGCTGGGTTGCCCGTGGTGCTAAAACCAAAAGAAACAAGCCGCACTTGTAATCGGGGCTGTATTTTTTGGCCATGATGATAGAGCACAACCTTTCTGGAAGCCAGCAAAGATCTTATGTACAAAGTAAAATATGTTTTAAATTGACATCATTTCAGTGTTCCCAGATCAGGCCTTGTTCATCTGCATCCAGTTAATTGAGGAGAATGTATTTATATTAGGATCAACCTTTTAAAGTTTTTTTAACTTCAGAATCAGAATCAGAATCATCTTTATTACGGTCACAGACCAGAACCACAAACAAAAAGTATGTTGAAAAATTCATTAAAATGAATTAAAATACATTAAAATAAAATAAAACTAAACATAATGATATCTTGCAGATTGGTGGGATCATCAATGGGCAGTTAACGTCTGCCTGATTTTACAAACAGTGTAACAAAATTTAACTACGTTCAAGGAAACTAAATCATTCTGATCAGATAGCAACAACCACACATAAAAAAGATCAGAATTTCCAGGATATTTTACCAAATGAGGAGTTATTAAATGGGTTTGTGAATCCTCATAGAAAATACAGTATAGCAGGACATGTACTGTAGTTTCAATAGCTCCTTGTCCGCAGGGGCACAATCTCAGCTCGTATGGGACTTTTTTGTATTGGCCCTCCAAAACTGCTGTAGGAAGAGCATTACAACGTGCTAGAGTTAGTGCCCTCCGAAATTTGGAGATGGTTATGTGATTTAGGTATCTTGCTGGCTTATAAGAAAAGACTTGACTGCTCAAAAAAACATTCTTAGGA